GGGTTGAGTTCCTGGGTGCCTCCTGTCCCTCCCAGCCCCACTCCAGGTCCTGCCTGCCTTGAGTTTAATCAGGATGGAGGAGTTGAACCTGCCCTTCAGGCCCTGCCCGGGGGCTGGGAGGGGCTGGGGGGGTTCGAGGAGGATTTGGGGGCGCTGGCAGGGGGGGAGATGAGGTTTTTATCACACCAGGGGAATTCCCCAGCTCGTTTCCTGGAGGAGTTTCACAATCAGCTCCGGCTGCCCTTGGGCTGTCCTGCCACTCGTGCCCGTCCCCCTGGGCAGGGCTGGGGGATTTTCCGGGCAAATCCCAAATTCCCTCTCTGATCCCAGCTGGGAGCACTGCCCTGGGAAGTGAATCTGTCTCTGCCCCCCCAGCTCCGATTTTCCATCCTGGTAGTCTTGTATGAATAAAGGACAAAATGGTTAACTGTCTTTCGATACAAGGTCTTTTAAGGTTAAACTATTTAACTAAAAAATCATGCTTAAATTATTCTCTTTTTTAACTAAATAATTTCTCTCAGTCTGCAGCGCGGACTTTTTTTGTTTAATTACAAAATACTACTTAAACTTTTGAAGAAGAAGGTAAAGCAGAACGATTTCTGCCTTAAAACTTTTATCTTGCTTCATATTTATTACTATATTTTAAAACTCCAAACTCTTTAAGTTTTCTGCTTTGTGATGTGACACACTTTTAACTAACTGCAGACTTGCAATCAATTCAGCCTCAAACGGAGTGGGCTTTTTGTGAATTTTTCTGTGCCTTTCAGCCCAGAAAAATTAAAGTCCTTAACGTGTAGTGTTGCGAGGCATCCTGACAGGGTTTTTCCCTTTTTGCCAGGCAATGTGTGCAGAGTGAAGCAGCTCCCGGAGCAGGGCCAGGCTCCAGCATGGGCAGCTCGGACACGGAGCGGAGCGCGTCCTACGGTGAGCCTGGCACGGGGTGATACGGGCAGGGTCTGTGCCTTAATTAGTGTTCAGCTCTTTATTAACACGGCAGCTCGGCAGGGGGGTGGCACGGTCTGCGCCTTAATTAGTGTTCAGCCCTTTATTAAAAAGGCAGCTCGGCAGGGGGGTGTTGTAGCTTCTTCTGGCAGCTGAAGGGTGAGAAGGATGCAGGGTCTGTCCCGGGTCTGTCCCTGGGGTCTGTCCCTGGGTCTGTGCGGGGTCTGTCCCTGGGGTCTGTCCCTGGGGTCTGTGTGGGGTCTGTCCCTGGGTCTGTCCCTGGGTCTGTCCCGGGTCTGTCCCTGGGGTCTGTCCCTGGGGTCTGTCCCTGGGTCTGTCCCTGGGGTCTGTCCCGGGTCTGTCCCCGGGTCTGTCCCGGGTCTGTCCCTGGTCTGTCCCTGGGTCTGTCCCGGGTCTGTCCCTGGGGTCTGTCCCTGGGGTCTGTCCCTGGGTCTGTCCCGGGTCTGTCCCTGGGTCTGTCCCTGGAGTCTGTCCCTGGGTCTGT